GTTTTCGTCGACAAACTCCTTCGCCTGCTGCAAACACCTCCAAATGAGGGAACCTGACCTGGACAGCCTGTAACACCCCACTTTTCTTAATCTTATTTACAGTTCTAAAATCAAAATCAGAATAAACTAAGCAGCGGATAAACAACTTAAATAATAAACTAGTGGGAATGTCACCGCCACAACCACCTCTCCATGGTGATTGCACAGGCTAAAGATGGAACTAAATCATTAAGTCAAACTAACATTTAAATTGCTTAATTTAAAAGTCATAAGGGGAAAATCACCTCGGTGTCTATCACCAAACATAATCATCATAAGTCTACAATCCATCAAATACATATCATAATAATAATAAGAGTTTAGACTACTAGATCTACTAAGCTAGTCTAACTCGATCATCTCTCAAACGTTGGGCCCACCTGAAAGGAATTTTGCAAAACAACACATAGACAAGTAAGAAAACACCTGTTAGCACGAAACTAAGTATAACCACACTCAACCCTGTAAAGTACTACAATATATACTTTGGAAAAACATTTGTTCACAAACTCGTCAATCAAACAATCTCAACACTTAGACAACTTTAGATACATCACAGACTTTCTATATGCTCGCAACCTATAATATCAACAGACATGCTTCAAATATAAATAACTCATCAACATGAATATTCCAACACATATTTCTCATAACAAAACCCATCATAATGAACTCATGCTATCAACCAATTTCACACTAACAACCAATACTAAAGCATCAAAATCATCTTCATGCTTTCAAGTACTCTGTACTCATCATGCAAACTAGATATATAAGACATCAAAATGCAACTAAAGCAATCATACTCGATATACAACCTCGGTAAATCATTCTCATATGCAATCTAGTGCAATACTATACTCAAATGCAATCTCGTGCAGACATTCTCATTATGCAATCTCGTGCAATACCATAAGTATACTCAAACACTCGTTTGTAAAATAGAATACTTTTCTATGGAGGTCACTTCGAGTCAAAAGGACTCGCTTGCTTTCTTTCTTTTCTTTGAGTCGTAATGACTCGCTTTCTTTCTTTCGTTTCTTAGAGTCGCAATGACCCGCTTTCTTTACAAATGGACGAGGTAGGAACTTCACTGTAACGTGAACGAACCTATCCGGGCACGGAGTCTAGCCGACCTAATACCCTGCTCGTCCACTGAACCACGCTCTTGGTTCTATGCTCAAACTCTGTAGAATCAGGTATCGAACTATCAGCGTGCACACCCCCTGACCAGGATTCCAAGTCTGACGGGTAGTTTCCAACCTCGTAACGTGGGAGTACACCGTGATACATATACTGGGGACCACAATGTCCATATCTTTCATCCGAGAGGACATAGTCCAAACGGGGTCCTCCAAAACCTCACTGATATGGATAATATATATATATATATATATATATATATATATATATATATATATATATATATATATATATATATATATATATATATCATGCACCAAACTTATGCATGCCACATCTCAGCAACTTCTCAATGCAACAAGGTATTGATATACCACATGCTCATGAATTTTTGAAAGTAATACTTAGGCTCACGTTGGCCACTTATGCACTTTTAAAACATGATATACTTGGAATGCAATTTACTGTACAACATGCTTCAAATCTATATTTATATCAGATTGAACTTTCAAGAACAACCAATCATGCTAGTTTGCAAAAAGACATGCTCTGAACATTTGTACCATCAAAATAAGCTTCAAATCCTATTGATCATACAACACATTCTAGTCATGCCTCTCTAATAATTCTTATTCACAAAGTGTTCATGCTTCTCTATTCAATACACAAATAGCATCAGGGGAATAAAACAAAGCAATTCCTAAAGGTAGAGAACTCAAACAATAATACTGTGAAGCAATTTCATCACTAAATCCATCATAACATGCTCATTTCTAATCCAAATTCAACAAAATCAAAGCCAAAACGTGCGTCAAGACGGCCCCGAGGTACCATGCCACAAGGGCCCGTAACACCGGGTCTGAAACGACACGTAGCTAAGCCACAAGGGCCTAGCCACTGCACAGGAGAAACTCACGGACCATGGAGCCCGCCCCCTCAAGCCGTTTGCTTACCGTCCCTAGGCAACGGCCCTCTCCTAGGGTCGTTCCCTAGGCCCGACCGGCCACGGCTCTAGCTAACGGTCCCCTTGTTGGGCCGTTGGCTAGAGCCGTTGCTTCATCTGGTGCACACTGTTTGTGCACCAGATGATCTATTTTCATCTGAAAATCAAACTCAGACAACTCCAACACATCCACAACATTAACAACACATCATAGACAAGTAATAGATCACCTCATAGATCAAACACATAAAAAATCTATCATTTCTACTCATTTCTACCTAAGAAACAAGGCTTCATAGAGCCAAAATCTAAAGTGGGAGTCCATGGGGTTATACCTTTGAAGCTTCTTCTCTTGAGCTGGGATTCCACCTTCTTCCCAAGCTAGCTACCCCCTTCTTCACTTCCTAACAACTCAAACAAACCACACAAAGCTTAAGGCTATGACCTCAGAGAATGGATGAAATCTATAAGGGAAATGGAAGGCTAGGATTGAATGGAGAAGGAGGATGAAACTTACTGTGTTGCCTCTTGATTTGCAGAGCTGAAATGTGGGAAGCAAAGAGTGGAATCAAGAGGCAAATGGTCTGATAGAGTTCTTATTTATAGAGGCACAAAACCCTAGGATGATCCCTCATGATTGGTGGGGGGCAAAATGGTAAAGTGGCTTGCTAAAAGATGAATCAGGATGAAGCTTTTGGATGGTTAGTGGTCCACCATGCTTCATGGACCAAGACTAGAAGGATAACTTTAAATAGTTTGGGGGTCAAAATAGATTTTTTCCAAAGATGATTTCTAAACAAACACTTGGTTCAGGTTTCTCCCGGTCTCACTCAGATTGGTTTCTCAGTTTAAAACTTTGGTACATGAAGTACCCGAAAATTTAGGATTTTGGAATTAAAATAAGTTTCAGTGTTGAATTAATTTAAAATGTAACTCAAAATAATTTATTCAAACACCAATTTATCTTTAAAAAAATTTAATGGAGTGAAAATGGCTATTTTGGAATTTCTTAAAATTGGATTTATAAAATTAAATTTTGGGTTGTCACACAGCCCCTCCGGGTATCAGAATGCGCTCCACAACGAGCCCCCCCTCAAGAAGCTAAAGTAGAGTTTAGCTGAGAACGCTTGTTGGACTGCCGGCAAACAGCAGATCCACAAACCTCCTTCCTTAGTTGGCAAACAGACTTTGTTCCATGCCGCCCAATGCCGCTTCGGTCCTTCTCAATCTGGCGCGGCAAAATAATTGAGGCCATCGTGTAGAGAGGGATCATTGAGAAGACATGTCTGATGAGAGTTAGTCTACCCCCCGGAGACAGGTGTTTGCGCTGCCAGCTTAGGAGTTTTCCATCCACCTTTTCTAGAAGGCTTTGATAATAGATAATCTTCTTTCGCCCGCGGAACAAGTTCACTCTTAAATAGCGGAAAGGTAGAGATGACCGTTGCATTCCCAGAATTCACGACATAGCAGAAGAACCCCCCCCCCCCCCCCCTAGTGCAGTGCTTGGAGGTGACAAAAAAACTTTTGTTGTAATTATTTCGTTGACCTGAGCCGGCTTGGTACTGCTTTAAAACCTCTGCCAAGGCTTTTAAGGAGCTTGATGAGCCATTAACAAAGATGACAATGTCATCTGCGAACACCAAGTGCGAGACAACCAGACAGTGCAACCCCAACGAATAGGGGGATAGCAAGCACGTACCCATTTTTAGAATGAGTGAATAAGATAGTCCCTAATTATGCAATTTTTTTTTACCTAAAATGATCCCTCGACTATTAGCATTTCGTCACTTTGGTCATCGACTGCCAAAGTTGCTCAATTTAGTCCCTAACTATGCAATTTTAACCTAAAATGGTCCAGCGACTATTAGGATTTCACCACTTTGGTTCTGTCTATTAGGATTTCACCATCCACTTTGGTCCTCGACTATCCAAAAAGGCCCCCAAATCCACACTAAAATGTCATTTTTGGTTAACATTTGCATAGTTGGGGACTAAATTGAACAACTTTGGTAGTCGAGGACTGAAGTGGTGAAATCCTAATAGTCGATGGACCATTTTAGGTAAAAATTGCATAATTAGGGACTAAATTGAGCAACTTTAGTAGTCGATGACCAAAGTGGTGAAATGCTAATAGTCGATGGATCATGTTAGGTAAAAAATTGCATAATTAGGGACTAAATTGAGCAACTTTGGTAGTCAATGACCAAATTGGTGAAATCTTAATAGTTGAGGGACCAAATTGGGTATTAATTCAATATATATTTACATTAGAATTACACTTTAATTTGTAACTTGTAAGTATCACAATTTTAGTTATAAGTATTACTCCTTACAATATTTATCATTAGTAACAATTATTTTACCCTAAATAGTATTACAATTTTACATATAAATATTAAATACAATATTTATTATAAATAACAGTTTATTTATTTCAAATTGGTATTAAATTTTCTATAATAAATATTATGATTTCTATCATAAGTAACAAACAGTTATTCTAGATTCGATCATCTCAGTCTCACGAATCTTGATCTGAGAGATAGATACACACAAGTGTGACTCTAGTAAAAATTATTAGAGTTGAGATTCCAATAAATTTTAGTCCTCCTTTCACACTCCCTATTTATAATTGGTTAAAAAGTTAAAAAAAAAAATTATAATAATAAAATGAATTCATCTAATAACAATGTTTTATAAATTATTGTTCCCAATGTTTATAAATTATAAATTATCACATCATGAAGTATTGAAAATGGAATAAAACAGTAAAGAAACCTAGCTAACCCCTGGTATGACTATAAATTTCCTACATAATGGCACAATGTTATTCAAACCATAGTACTCGTTGTCAACTACAGTGAGAGAGAGAGAAATGGCTTGTGTTCCTCTAACTTCTCTGATGAATACAATCCAGTTTGAGTTCTTACAACCCAGCCCGCCCGTTATTCTTGATGAAGATACAGTACATATGATGAATTCTCTGTACCAGAATCTTGGTTTCTTGCTCACCTTTCTTGAGGAATTCGAGAAGAAACCGGGAAATGATGATGCTGCAATCAAAGATTTGGAAGCCAAAATCAGGGACTTGGCTCTTTCAGCAGAAGACGGAATTGAATCAAATCTGACAAACATTTACATGGAGGCGGAGGCGGCTGCAGCTAAAGATAAAGATATGATGCTCTGTCAGAAGCTACGACAAGTAGCCGACGACACTCACCAGTTTGTCAACAGAATTAAACAAGAATACTATGATTCTACTGTCCAAGATTCTCCAAAGGTATCTATCTTTCTATCTATCACGCCATGCAGTTTTTGCTTACATTAGTCACTACACTGATGGATGAAATAATCTACCATTCGATCTTATTCTCTGCACTGCAGGTACATACCCTTTCGTCAGACCTTGAGAGCATTTCGTTGAGCGAATCTTCACAGCAGTTCTCAAAGCCAAAGGTTGACGGCAGAAGAATGGTTGGGCATAGCAGTGAACTGAATACAATAAAGGATCAGCTCACTCGTCTGCCGTCTGGAGAACGAAAAGTCATTTCAATTCTTGGGATGGGTGGTATCGGCAAGACAACTTTAGCAAGGAGACTCTACGAAGATCCATCAGTCATATCCCACTTTGGAGTTTGCGCATGGACTATTGTGTCCCAAGAAGTTAATCTCAGACGCATACTCTGCGACCTTCTTCAGTCCTTTAGCTTCTCCTCCACCCAAGTGAATACTAATGGAAGCACAGGTGAACTGGCCCAACAATTGCAGAAGTGTTTGAAGTGTACGAGGTATCTGGTTGTGGTGGATGACGTATGGGAAACCAGTGTTTGGGATTATCTCACCAGATGTTTTCCTGAAAGTGATGGTAGTAGAGTATTGCTAACCACTCAGCTAAAAGAGATTGCTGACTACACTACTACTTCAGGTACCTATCTTCATAACTTGCATTTTCTAGATTCTAATGAGAGTTGGGATCTATTCTGCAATAACGTTTTCTGCAAACAACCCTTGCCTTCCAAATTTGAGACAATTGGAAGGAACATTGTTGACAAGTGTAGAGGATTACCCCTGGCGATTGTTGTAGTCGCTGGACTTGTATCCAAACCCAACAACACACTTGATGATTGGGAAAACGTTGAGAAAGAAATAAGTTGTCATGCTAGTACAGATCTTGCTGAACTGTGTTCAAGAATTCTGAATTTAAGCTACAACCACTTACCTCAGCATTTGAAAGCTTGCTTTTTGTATTTAGGAGTTTTCTATGAAAATAGTGAAATTCCTGTTAAAAAGCTTGTTAGGCTTTGGGTGGCAGAAGGGTTTGTGAAGTCAGTGAGTGATAAGAGATTGGAGGAAGTGGGTGTTGAGTATTTACAAGACCTTATTAGTAGAAGTTTAGTCCTAATTCACAAGTGTAAGCCTAACGGCCAAATCAAGACATGTAGGATGCATAGTCTCCTACATGGGCTTTGCATAAGAGAAGCGAGAAAGCTAAACCTTTTGTACGTTGAAGACGATGGTTATGATCGTGTTGGTGCTTGTCGTTGGCTAAGCTTTAGATCACCAAAGCCCAAGAATTATGATATAATTCGCAACAATTACAAAAAAGCTCGTTCTGTTTTGTGCTTGCATAATGATGATGAGATGGCAATGGTGAATGATCCAAAGCCTGTAAGGTTCAGCTTGTTAAGAGTTCTTGATTTAACTTCTCCTATGTACACCAAGGGAGTTTATGTGACTTTCCCAGATCTTTCTGATCTAGTTCTTCTAAAGTACCTTGCTTGGTCTCTAGGCTCGGAGGGTCTCGAGATCATTCTGTCTAAGAATCAGAAACTGCAGACGCTGATTGTTTCGCATAGTGCAGCTGGGTGGGAAGAAGACTCTTCCCTTTTGCCATCCACAATTTGGGGGTCACCACAGTTAAGGCATCTTGAATTCAAAAACTGTTTTAGGGTGGAGCCTCCAAGCATGGTGAAAGAGAAGTTGCAAACTTTGTATTGGTTGAGCATATCCGATTGCACGGAGGAAGTGTTCTCTATGATTCCAAACATAAACACATTGGGGATCCTTTGTAAGCGTGAATCAACCATATCTCATAGTAGTGGTACTTATAGTTTGAAGTTTCTTCGATGTTTGGATCAGCTCGAGGATTTAACCATTGAATCTGACTATCCCATTTCTGAGCATTTGCGCCCTCGATGTATACATGCATTTCCCCGCAACCTTAGAAAGCTAAAACTATGTGGAACACATCTGCCAATTGGGGATGTAGAAGCAATTGCCTTGTTGCCTAGCCTCGAGGTGTTAAAATTTAAAACCGATTCTCTTCTTGGACCTGAGTGGAAACCAACTGATGGGGGATTCCCGAGTTTAAAGTTTTTGCTGCTCCAACATAGGAAACTCCGACATTGGGAAGACTTTGATGATGAGTTTCCCATGCTTGAGCGTCTAGTCCTAAAGGAATGTGTAAAATTGGAACAGATCCCAATTACTTTCTCAAACATTAATTCTCTCCAATTAATTGAATTAGAAAGGTGTCGCCCTGCCCTTTTGGATTCTGCCAAGAAAATCAAAGAAGAACAGCTCAACTATGGAAATGATGGTCTTCTTGTTATTGACCGCACTCCTCAGGTCTATCTCATCCATCTGCACTTTCTAATAATTAATTATTTTTGGAAATGTCTATTAATTAATTATATCAAACCAAACTTACTTTTTTTTCTTTTGTGTGTGTGTGTGTTTCTTTTCATTGAATGCAGTATACTGCTGAGCAATCTGTGATTTTTAAAAAGAGACGAAGAACGAGGCGAGGTAGGTTTTATCACGATGACGACGATTACTAAAAGCTCGCTCATATCAGGACAGCTGCAGTCAAATAAATGGTACAGTTCTTATGTCTAAGGTTTTATGACGATGACGATTATAGAGAAAGCACTTATGTCTTCTTACACTATTGAAAAATATTTTAAGTTTAGGTTGTCCTTATCCCTGCAAACATCTCGCACTCTAAAAAATGGGTCCCACTTCCACATCATTCCATTTGCAAATCATCTACTATTCACACTACATCCCTACAAATTCATCTCACTCTAAAAAATGAGTCCCACATTCATATTATATTATAAATATAATAATAAACAAAATTAAAAATTAAACAAAAAATAAAAAGTCAATTGTTCGGCAGCTTTTGCTGAGCAAAAGCTGCCAAAAGACTGGCTTGCAAATTTGCTATTTAAGCAAATTTGCAAGCCAGTTGGCATTAAAACAAAAGAAAACTAATATCATATTTTCCATGTCATCTTCCACTTCACTTTGCCAATGTCATATTTGCAGGGGTAAGGATAGCCTTATGTTAAATAATTGCTGAAAATTAACAAAACTATGTGAATTTCATCACAAAGTTTGATGTCTTCTCTCTTTATTTTTCCATGCAGAGCTCAAGAAGGGAATTTCGTTTTAGATGGGAGATCTTCACTTGTATGATCTAGCAAAGGGATACATGCATGCGATTCCAAGATAGTAATATATTGTTGTATACTTATTCAATGGTTCATTGTAATTATATTGTGTATTACATAGCTTATTGGTTGGCTTCACCCCTATTTATGATTTGAGTGAATTCCCTTTTTAGTCCTAGACTTATAGTAGACATGGACAATTTTAGTCCTCTGTAACAAATTTGATCAATTTATGGACACATTTATTGTGACGAGGATAATTTTGATCCTCGTCTGTATTTCCGTTAGATGATTGAGAGGGTAATTATGTCATTCCATGCGTGTTTTGTTTTCTTCTCGATCAGAATTCGAAGAAACAAGTCCTCATAGAGTCCAATTAAGTCGCAATTGTTCGAAGAAATTGCCGGAGAGTCGAAGTCGCCAATGTACGTAAACTGAAACTTCAATATTTTTAAGGTTACCTAAACGAAGGGATGTGACACCCCAAAAATCCACATTCAATCCATGGATTAATTGAGTAATTAATCCTATTTTATTTGAAGAATTAATTCCTAAAATCCTGATTTTTAATACTCGAGGACTAGTATTTGACTAGTCAACTTCAAAGCTATGTTGTACCTTGAGCTTTGAGGGGAGTTCCCTTGTTCCTTACACTTTCTAAAGGTTAGTAAGGGTATCCTTGACTTTTCACCAAGAGTTAGTATTGTAACCTAACCTAGAAGACTTCTTCATTTCATTCCTTACATTTCCTAGAAATTAGCTCTACCTTCTCTCTAGAAAGGTGAGTAGCTTATTCTCCAAGCTAAGTTGAGACCCTTGTCAAGATTCCAAGATTTTCTACCAAGATTCAACCTTTCACCTATTTGGGCATCTAGGAGGGTAAGATCTAAGTCCATCTTGTGTTTTTGGTTTCATCTTAGTTGTCTTTTTCTTAAAGGTAGGATCTTTATGATCTTTTGGTTTAATATTGAAGTGGGTTTGGAAAGTAAGCCTTGTGGGGACCTTGTTGTGGTGTAAAGTGAAGTCGTTGGGTCTACAAGAAGTAACCCATGCTGTACAAAACCTATTTTGCTTACCTATTTGTGATTTCTTGGATTCTACTTGTGCTTTGCTATGAAATGTGAGGGTTTATGCATTTGTCTTGTGATATTGCATATCTAGAGCTTGTGTTTAGGGTTCCTTTGTGCCATTGCTTGGCATTTTCCATGGTTCAAGTCATTTTGTTGTGTTGGGTGAGATTTGGCATGTTTTGGACTTGAATTTGAGCTTGGAGTTGAAAATCCGCGAAGGGATTATTTTGGACCCAGGGACGTACCCGCGGGCGGAACGACGGGGAGAGCCCTACCCGCCGCCCCACCCGCAGGAACGAGGCTTGTGGGTGTTGGTACCCGCGGGCAGGACCACGGGTAGGGGCCTACCCGTGTGTCCACCCGCGGGGTACATGTTGGTGTTTGTCCGGGATTTGTTCCCCGTGATTCGTTTGACTCGTTAATTGGTCTTTTGACTTCCCGATGTTCTTTTGTGGAATTATTTGAGTTTCGCCTTGATGTTTCGTATGTCTAGAACTATATGGTAGGTATCCATCCATGTAGGACTTTGGTGTCTTGAATCGTGCTAAGTGTTCAACATTGTGTTTCGTTGGACTGTGATGTGTCTTGTGTGTTCATCGGAACTATCTTTGGTTTCCCCGTTGATAAGCATGCTAGTTTGGTATCTAAATGCTAGCGTGTGTGCTGTTTGTACCTTCCGATTGGTTGATGATAACTTGTGTTATTCATCGTTGTTGTTGTTGGGCTGTGACCCATTCCTTGATTGAGTGTGTTTCATATCTTCGTTGCAATCTGTTGATTGATTCCTGTTGAGGTGTGATGTGTGAGTCGCTTTACCTGGATTGCACGATTAGTGCTATGGGACACTAGTCACCAAGGTATTGCAGCGGTCCTCGTGGTGGCCGTGACGTGAATATGGAGTTGAGACCTGTGTGTCAGGTTCTCGTATTTCTTGGGAAGGCGTGTGTCGCCGTGTGTGTGTACGGTACCTTGTATACTATGAAATCGGTGGCTTTGTCGGAGGTCTGTTGGAGGGGGAACGACGGTTCCCAGGGGAATAAGGATTGACTTGGTGTACAGGGGTCCTGGAGGTAAATGTTGGAACTAGATATAAGGTTGGGGGTAGCCATAAGGTTGGAACAGGGCATAAGGAAGGCATATCAACTCGTGATGGGTGATGTCACGAGGGCTTGTGTAGCCATTGTTGTGAGTTCTCTTTCTTGTGACGTGTGTAGTCACAAGGGCATGTGTTGCCATCGGTCTTGTCTTTATCCTTTGTGTTGTGGTTATCCTTTGTGGTTTGGGATGTGTTCCCGTGTTATCTTTGTGAGTGTTGAGTCTTGTGTTGACTGTTGATATTGGTTTTTGACTTATATACTTATGTATTCCGTTTCGAAAATGGCTTTACAACTTATATCTATCTATGTATGATATTTCACATGTATTGGTGGGTTACCAGCATTATTCGCTGACCGGGCATCGCCCCATGTTTATCTTTGTGGTCTTTCAGGTGATGTTTAGACAAGCGCGATGTCTAGTGCCTGGTAGTTTAGTGCCTTTCCCTTGTTTTGGCCTGTGAGCCGATGTAGTGATAGACTTATTGATTTTGGGATAGTTGTGTACACAATGCAGATTTGACCGCCGTAGCGTTTATCATTGTTGGTAAACGTGGCATAGCAGCCCTGTTTGGATTTGCTTTTATCCAGTTACATTGTTATCTTCCGCTGTGCTAGTGTTTTGTTGTGTTATCTGCATGTGTTAAGGCTGTTGTTTTAGCTTGTTTTAGAGGGGTGTTACAGTTGGTATCAGATACTAGGTTTTGAGCCTAGGAAGAGTTAAGTCTAGACTTTCTAAGTGGTTAACTGTGTTTTGAGACCTCTATGCGACCTTAAGAAGCTAAGTGTTAGGCTTAGGACTCTAGGTTGCGCGGTGAGCTGTGTGTTGATTTCTGTTATTTGCTTGTTTGCTATCTTTTCGTAATCGTGTTGTTGTTGTAGAAGTTTGCGATGTCTCCTCGTCCCCGAGCTCGCACCCCGGAGACCCCGACGAACGAGCAGCTCGCTCCGAATATCCATCAGCTGACACAAACGATGCAGACGCTCAGTGAAGCCTTGCTGAACAACAACCAAGTTGTGCCACCTCCTCCCCCTGCTGGGCACCGTGATGTAGGTCGTTTGGTGTCGGGACATCGGCCGCCAACCTTCGCCGACGAAGAAGAGCCGGTAGTCTTGGAAGAGTGACTACGGGTGTTTGATAAGATCTTCACCATTGTGGGTTGCCCCGAGGAGAGAAGAGTAGAACTGGCAACGTTCTACTTTTGCCAAGAAGATGATCTGTGGTGGGTCCACGAAGGTCCGACCTTCCCTGAAGAGCCTGAGTTTGGTTGGTCTGCGCTTAAGGATAGGATGCGTGAGAGGTTCTACCCAGCGCATGTGCGAGCCGCCATGTTTGATGAGTTCCTTCACCTGCAGCAAGGATCCCTGTCTGTGGTTGAGTACCACAGAAGTTCTTGGAGTTGGCGCGCTTTGCTCGAATGCTTGTGCCTACGGAGCTTGCTAAGGTTGAGAGATTCGTTGCCAGTCTGAATTATGAGGCACGAAAAGCGTTGACGGTGAGTAGGCCAAGTTCCCTTAAGGACGCGTATCTGAGTGCCGCGGATCTGTATAGTGTTCAGCAGCTTCAGAAAGGATCGTATGAGCTAGCTAGGAAGAGGGTTGAGAGCGGAGATTCTTCCACCTTCAAGAAGCCCCGACCGAGTTTCCCGGCCCTGATCGTGTCATCTTCTTCTCAAGGACCTAACA